TGGCCGCCATAATGACCTCGGATGAGGTGGTTCCTACCAAAAATTGAATGCTATGACCATAAGGAGCATGTAAAAAAAAAATGGTGCTTTTGTCCGGAACGTCCACATTAAGTCCAAATATGGCCCTAAGCTGCCGTACTAAATATTTTCACAAGGAATGCGATTGTGGAATTCATAAATCTCTCAGTACGACATCTGGAAGGATCCAATTCACTGTTACCACTGCTCCTTAGGGATCTTGTATGCCTCTTGCACTTATATGATGGTAACATTTTTCTAAATCTGGTGGAGTCCAGAAGGCTCTTAATCAAATTTGAGAAGGTTTTCTTTGCGGGTCTTTAGAGAAGGCAGACCTACAATTTTCAAGCGCATTGCTAACTTCATACATACCAACACACTTGGTTCCGTCAAGAGTCAGCAAGAATCCTGCGGGACACATACACTGGAAATGTCCTTCCGTGTTGCGACAAATACCATCATAACAAATTCCTGGAATCAGGTCGCATTCGTTTTGATCTGTAACCACAAATTGCATATTTATATTGAATTTAGGTTAAACCGCGATGGTGGTGATGATGATGATGATGATGACGATAATTATAATATTAAAATAATAATAAATATAATAATAGAAATAAAAATAATAATATACTGTACAGGTCCAGGATAGTTTGATGATTCTTAATGTTTTTAATTTATTTTAAATGTTTTTACAAGCTTTAGTGTTGTGTTTTCTTTAAATTATTTAAAATTGTTCATTTTAATTATTTATTCATATTTTAACTTTTTAACTACTTTATATATCTTTTTTTAATTGTACATTGTTTTTTTATATATTATGCCATGACCAAATGAATTTACTTCAAGATAATACGGTACATTTGAATTAAAAAAGGTGGAGCTACTGATTAGGTACATATTTCAGTAAGGACAGTGTTTATTTTGACAAAGGGTAGGTACAGCCTGGGGAAGGGTAATGCCATTTATTAATTAACTGCAAAAGATTTGAGAAAATCATGTAATCTATTAACTGTGGTGAATACATGTACTGTACAGCAAGCAAGTACCCTTGAAAAAAAAACTTACTAAAAAACCTTCACATACTGAGCTGTTCTATTATTTTGTAGGGGTGTTTTGATGAAGTGAAAATAATACATATGTCAGTATTTATTCTGTAATTATGAAAATTCACTGCTTAACTTACCAACACATTCAAAGCCATTACTTGCAAGTATATATCCAGGGTCACATATGCAGCGGAAGGATCCAAAAATGTTCTCGCATCGTCCATTGACACAGATGCCAGGCTGCTCAACACATTCATTACGGTCTAAATGATTGTTGAAAAGAAAAACAAAATTATAGTAATATCCGATACAAAAATATTTAATAATCTTGTTAATGAATTTGATTTATTCACTTAAATTTTTTCAACATTGAAATAAAAATAATTACCTTCACAGTTTCGTTGGTCAGGACTAACTCTGAAACCTATTTGGCATTGGCACACAAAACTGCCAGGAGTATTTGTACAGAAACCATTGTTGCACACAACTCCCAGTTCCAAACACTCATTTACATCTACAAAGAAACAAAAGTTATAAATAGCTCTGGTTGGTGCTGATTTTGCTAATATGATATCCATATTTGGTGATAAAGGTTATTCCATGGAACTGAATGAAATTTATATAATAACATAAATGTTGTATTTACCAATGCAGTCTTTATTGTGACTTTGTCTGAAACCAACAAAACAATTGCAAATAAACGAGCCAAATTCATTGATACATGTTCCATTAATTCCACAAGCCCCCAGTGAACATTCATCAGTATCTGTCAAAACAAAAACCAATTTGCATATTCATGAAAGACAAAATTTGCATATGCATGAAGAGACAATTTACATATTGTTGAGAGAAATTTTTTATATTGATGATTCAATTACTGCAATACCAAAATAGAGGCATTCTAAATCACGCTTATTGTATTATCTATGTTTATGGATAAGAAACTTATAATTTTATGTATTTATAAAAATTTGCTATATAAACACATAGATTACAAAATAATTTGAAAATTTTAATAATTTTACAATAATTAAAGAAGAATTACACCTGCACTATATATATACTGTCTCACTTACCAACGCAATCCTTTCCATCCGATGTTGGTGAGAAGCCTTGATGACACAGACATTCAAAAGAGCCTACCGTGTTGGAGCACGCACCGTTAAGGCATTCATTCGGGTTGATAGCACACTCATCCTTGTCTAGAAAGAAATGTACAATTTACAGATTCAAAATATATCCCTTAGGTCCTAAACTAATTAAAAATAATGTCTTATACTGATTTAGCAATGCTGACAAGGAAACCAGTCAAAAACAAACATTTTATTTAAACGACAGCCTTTATATAGTGGATAAGTTTGCCTTTAGTATTACATGAACCTTGTTAATAATATTTTTATGTGTATTACCAAAGTGAAGAATTTTCTGGAAAACAATGCAAAACTCCTAGCACGGTTAATAACATGTAGACATACAGCTGCAAAATACTTTAATTTAAGAATAGATATTGCCATCTGCTACAAATAAAAAGCACTTGAGGCAAGAAGGAATTAATTTGGGATCTTTGCTAGCCCTGAATTTGCATTTACACTTTTTTTATTTAAAACCTTTCCTACTTTGAGGTGATCAACTGGATGTAAGACTATGAATTAAACTCATGAGGAAGCCCTTTCTAAATTTGGTTGGCCAAATGTATGCATACTGACCAATACAGCTCCTCTCGTCAGCTAGCTCGAAGCCAACCGGACACGCACATTCATATTCTCCAGGAGTGTTCACACATTCAGCATTGCCACGGCAACGGTGTGTGTTTTCCAGACATTCATCGATGTCTGACAAATAAAAAAAAAACAACAATTATTATGCAATATTTTTGTAGATTGATTATGATATTTAATGTAATAATGAATCAATCAAAAAATGAAGATAAAATAAAATTGTATATTTATCTTACCTCTACATTTGAGGGCCATGTCATCATACCTGTAGCCGATGAAACAATCGCACCTGAATCCCATCATATTATTGACGGGAATACAGTTGCCATTCTCACAGATATCTCCAATCATCTTGCACACTGCAAACAATACAATAACAACAATAATATTAATAATAATAATAAGGCCAAATATAAAAAATTATTGCGTTGGCCACGTCCGACCGACCCAAAATGTATGAAACAACAAGAAATACAATGAAAAATATTTTTTACTGAGCTGGAATAGGCCATTCACACTAGACGGTAGGCGATGGGACAGTGTTATGTAATCCTTTTGCTCTTCAATATAGATTGTTGTATTTTTGTGTATTTTCTAAGTTTTAGGCATAAACACATTATTGGTGTAAAAAAAAAAAAATTTTCCTACCGACCTACCCATTTTATGGATTTTCCCAAAACGTGGCCAACCAAGAACTTTTTTTTTTATATTTGCCTAATGGTGATAAAGACGTTTATAAAGATGATAATAATTTTAAAAAATTATTTGATTTTATACAATTTCCCTTCACAATTGATTATCAAGTAGCATAAATTGAATTTTCAAGAAATAAGTACATCAGGAATAGAAGACACCCTAGCCGGGTCCAATTAGTATCATGCTAGGATCTGGACCATTAATCAAATGTATAGGGGGTTCTCTATAAATAAATCTACAGGTAACACGGCTACGGCAAAGTGATCAAGAAATGCGGAAAGTACTGGCTTGCTGATATGCATTCATATACAGTGCACTGCACTGGAAAAGATGAAACTATGGCATATGTCAGTTCATATAGATAGGTATTCAAGGAATATAAGTTTGGAAAAAAAGATTAGAAAATCAAAGTTAAATTATATGTATCTTACTTTGCATTGGATCCATAGGCTCAGTACCACAGAGTTGGGCATAAGGTTCAGAGCCATAAGAAGGGCAGGATTCACAGTCCAGGCCCCATCCAACAGCTCCAACACTGGTACAGCAACAAGTCATCTTGGTGAGCACTGAATCCAGTGGGTTAGTGCAATGATTGGTGGAGTTCTTTGTCCTGAAGCAAAAGCGTTCACGGACATCTGCAATACAAAAATTAGTAATCATTCACTAATTTATAGAACTTCCAGATGCCACTAAACTTTTGGTGAAGAATTGGAATATGTAAATATAATCTATAAAATGTATCACAGAATGTGATATTGACGGATATCATTCACGAGGTTGTCCACATAAGTTATGGCAGAATGTTGTGAGAGAGGACCTCTGCAGATTAAACCTCAATCCACAAGCTGCCACTGTTCGCGCCCCTGGTCTCGCAGGATACACTCACCTTACAGCTAACTGAACAGCCTTTCAAAAATCTAACCCTCACACATGGGGGGAAAACAGACTTTAAAATATAATGATGATGAAAATGTAGTGGTTACGTTAACAGCAGGTATTACTTCTTACCTAAACAGTAGGCGTTGCCCTTATCATTGAACTGCAACTCATATTCAAATGGGCAGCTACATGTGTAATTGCCAATGTTGTTTCTACAGAAGCCTGGCGAGCAAGCATTTGGGTACTCTACACACTCGTTGATGTCTGTTGGTAAAGAAATTCATTCATTCAACATTTTTGTATGTTCAAAATTAAAATTTTCAGCATTAAAATCACTTGAAGCTGTCAAATCAAGTTAAACCTTACCAAAAATAAGCATTGAGTCTGTTACATGCATCTTTAATGAATAAATAAATTTAAACAATTATATATAATAATAACAGTGCTTGAATAGGAACATGTAATAATCATATCAAGCATAGCTCATCAACAAAATGTTCCTTTATTTTAGTTGTATGAAAAAAGTGTCTCTGGTGGGATTTGAATCTGCAAATTAATTTTTTTTTTAAATAAATAAATATATTTATACACATAAAAAAATAAACAGTAGTAGTAAAACATTTTTTTAAAAACCAAAAATAAATAAACACACAAAAATGCATTCTTCTGCCTTTTGGCCTGAGTTATTACCAACACAGCAAAACAAATTTCTATGTTCTCCTGAGCAATGACAACAAATTTGATTGAGATTGAGAAAATAATTACTATGAATTTTGAAAAATGAAATCGATTTACTCGCACTACCACAAATTGAATCTCTATTATACATAAATTTCTGCTATGAAATATGTTAATTACCTCTGCATATTTTCATTTGCTCGTCATAGCGGAGACCACTAGGGCAATCACATCGATAACTTCCAAAAGTATTAACGCATTTACCCCCCTCGCAAATGTCTCCTAGCTCGACACATTCATCAATGTCACCAACAACATCCGTAAACTTGCTTGGACGGAATCCTGGGCCACCAGGACAAAGTAGATTATAGTCAGCTAAAACAAAGATAAATCAGAATAGAAGTACTGTATTTACATGATGCAAGATAAAAATGTCTTCAAGGGAGTCTAAGTATTTTTCAAACATTAATTAAAATAATAATAATTCATAAAACGCCAATATCACTAAACCAAAGTAAAAATCAAAAGCGTTTTGGATGTTTGGATGATAAAAAGGTGTTTTGAGTTCGGTCTAAAAAAATAGCAACTGAGGGCGATTCGGTAATGTGTTTAGGGGGAGAGTTCCGAAGACTGGCAGCTGAAAATATAAGTGATAAGAAAAGTTGCTACTTCAGACGGCAATATTTTGACCGAAATGGTTACTTTACATGTTTTAATACACAATTCAGCAGTGATTTTGGTAGTCTATGAGTGAGATACAAATAGTGCTTCAATTTACCTTTTTACCATTGAAAAATACATAGAACCACAGTGCATTTAATGAATACACATTACTCAACTGCCCTCATCCATATTAATAGTTAGTAGCCTAATTACAATAGTACAGACAACCTGCACATACAACAAACATGATTTAAAATTCTAAAATTTGTGTATGTTGCATGTATAGGACGACCACCCTTTTATCGATCATGATTTTAATATCTTAAGCCTCGTCTGATATGCAAGATTATAAAAATAGACTTTTTTGTTGGTTTTCCCACATAATTTTGAACAATCAAATTATATTAAATTTATCTGAATTGAATCATAGAACAGAATGGCTTACTTGTGTTGACCTTTGGGCAAGGTTCACACGGATCTCCCCAGGCTTTGCCGATGGAGCAGCAGCAAGATGCCCGGGCAGCGCTGACGTCTAGTAGGCCATAGCACTGCGAGTCAGCAGTGTCCCCACGTCCATCTTCACTATACATGGCATAACATTTACCAATACGTAGATCTGATGTCAAAAACATATGAAGTCGTTAATAGTTCAAACATATTCAAAATGTTATCATTTACATTTAATATTTACTTACTTCAATCAATCTTTATAGGATGACCCTAGGCTGATATTCAGGGGCACTTTTTATATTTATAGTACCAGCATGGTATTAATACTAGACTCATAATAATAAAACAAATTTTAAATAGTTTGTTTTAAATTATTTGTAATTTTTAGGTTGGCTACTATCATCAAGTAGACAGCAATGTCTCTGTAATGGCCATTTTTAATGATAATCATTGCGACTGATTGAAATATTTATTTAGCATTGAAATTATACAAATTTATACTAATAAAAACATAAAATATATATTAAAATGTAAGGTAAAAAAAAATTGCCTGGATAATACATTAAGCCTAGTGTTACAAATAAACACAAGAATTACTTCCACTGAGGTCCAGTGATAATAACACCAAAAGATAATATGAATTTCATTGGAATTTGACTGTGGATTTGTAATAGGCATGTATAAGATGGTCTAGGCTTACCAACGCATGCAGTGTTTGACAAAGTTAGACTGAAGAATGGTGGGCAATCGCACTGGAAGCTTCCCCATGTGTTAATGCAAATCCCACTCTGGCAGAGGTTAAGATCTCGACACTCATCAATATCTGAGTCAGAAAATAAAACTCAATATTTATAATTCAATATATAAATTAGAGATATAGAAATCATAATCAATAATAACATACAGTATGTCAAGGTAGTTGAACTTCATACAGTGCTTGTACATGCTAAATGACATGTGGAATAGTTTTGTAGCTTGTTTAAAGAATGACTTGACCCCTAACTGGTAAACTGTCCCCAAAGGGACTGTCTATATCACTATACCAGATATATATTTCTACTCATCTTGAATGATATATTGGGTTCTTTAAATTTCCCACCATACAATTTACAATCTTTAGACTTGTAATTGCGCCACCTGTACAACTGCCTCCCTGATAGATGGATACTAAGAAGTACTCACCTGGCCAACCCCAATAAATGGATACTAAGATGCAATTACCTTTACAATTGCCACTCTGATAGATGAATACTATTAAGTACTCACCTGTACACTTATCACCCTGATAGATGGATACTAAGAAGTACCCACCTGTGTAATTGCCACCCAGATATATATACTGTAGATACTATAACGTACTCACATGATATACTTACCTGTACAATTGCCACCTGTTTGATCCTTCTCAAAGCCATCGAAGCACTCACATCTGAACATACCTGGCACATTGACACACTGGCCATATGTACAGATTTCAGGAAAATCTGTACATTCATTAATATCTGTGGAGTACAACAATAACACAATGTTAACTTATTAAATTTGTCTTTCTTCTATGTAAATCTTTAAATACACATGGCGCATTGGGTCGGACTGTTCCATTTTTTTCAAAGGGGTGTTCCATTTTGGGAACAATGGCAATTAGTCAGTTATCCAGGTAGTAGTCACGAAATAGACACTTTCATCAAGTTACTATATATTCAAAACATTTTGAGTATAAATACTCACTTTAACACATTGGTTTACAATAACCTATCAGTAAAATTGTACATAAATTAATACATATACATCTAACTGTCTGTTCTTATGTGGAGTGTCTATCTCTCAGTCTACAATACTGGTACAGTAACACTAGTTGCTGTCAAATCATTTAAATATTAACCTTAAGAATATAACGTATTGGAATACCTTCACATCGATCCCTTGCAACTGATACAAAGAACCCAGTTTCACAATCACATTCATAAGCACCTGGAGTGTTCAAACACTGACCGTTGCTACAAAGATTCAGGTTACGGCTACACTCATCGATATCTGTTAACAAACAAATTATTCTTGTAAAATAACATCAATTAAAAGTGTGCATTAGTTAACACCTGGGTAAGGGATAGCCCTTGCGCAACCCAGGCAGCTTGCGATAAAATGCCACTCTTCGTGGTTCTGTATTTTTGGCAAATACATCACCTAGAGACAATCCCATGCCTTACCAAAGAGTGCATGCATTCTTGCACATAGACCAAATTTCGGACCAGTGGATTAAACCTCTATTCCAATAGATGGTAACATGTATTCACAGGAAAAGTAGCATCATGGAATAAGTGACTTAAAATATCGAAGGTTTAGTACAAAAGTACCACAAGAAATAAACAACTCATGCAAAAACTTAAGTTGGCTTTAATATAAAGGAAAGGAGACAGAGGATGCTGGCTTAAAATTGGAATGGACAATTCCATTATTTTGAAGGTATGTTTAGCTATTGGTTCACCCAGGTGTTCATTCACAAAATACAGTGAATGTATGATTTGGTTTACCTTGACATGAACGCCCGTCTCCTGTGAATCCTGCCTGACATCGGCATTGGTAAGTACCAGGCATGTTGACACACAATGCATTCAGGTGACATTCATCTATCTGTCGGTCACATTCATCAATATCTAAACAAATAAACAATAGCTTTATTCACAACATGCACTAAAAGAGTATCAGATTGTGTGGTGGTATAAACATAGTACACTGTGTGTCTATTAGAGATATTTTTAATATGTAAGATCAGGAAGAATAATATTTTCAAAAAAAACAGGTTGGCAAAACACATGGTTGTTTAACAACTTGCATATTTTGCTTATGTGTTCTCATTATTCAGGTAAATCAAGTTGGTTAGGTGGGAGGATATTTTCCAGCGTTTCATTATATTTTTATACAAAGGTCATAACTTTCTGTGACAATTTAAAATTTTATTACAGGCTTTAAATTGATCTGTAAATGACACTTACCAACACAGCTGATACCATTGCCTTCAAAGCCTGGTTTACAACTACACATGAATGTGCCCTTGGTGTTAATGCATTCTGAGTTCATGGCACAGTTGTGTACTCCCATTTCACACTCATTCATATCTGAAAACCATAAAGACCATACAGTAAAACCTCAAATGGTCTTCTTTTCGAGGCTAATTTTGCAAACTATAGAGGGGGCTTTAATTTGAGATGGGCTTCTTCTCGAGATTAAGGCCATTGGGCTTAAATTCAAGGTTTTACGGTATTATTAATAGAAATGTCCAATAAAAGCTTATTTCCAACAGTTTCTAATATATATCAAGTAAGACATCAGGAAATAATAACCAGATTTCAGTAGAAATATCGACCTGCTGCACTCTACAGCAATATAAAGAGGTTAGTTACTGTAGTTGTTCTATTTTTGTTGTAGGGGTGTACAATTAGTTGGATATTCAGGTAGGTATTCACAAAAACACTCTAATCTTCATAATTGACCACAGTTACTTTTTAAATATAAACTACACCTGTAGTTTTATGTAAAGATTTTACAGTAACTGTAGTTAAGATTTTTTTGTTTACTAATGGGCTTATTCGACTGGTACATTTCGTTGAGTACGAATTTTCGTTGAGTATTATTTTCATTCGATTGGTTCGTAAAATAGACATCGTTGACAACGAAAATTAATGTAACCAGAATGCGTTAATCAGCGTTAAATTATGCATGTGACCAAAAAAAAATATGGCCGATTGGTCAGTTCATTTGCATTAATATAATTTAGATTAAATTTCAGAAAATAAAAATTGTAATATCTACCCAAATTGAAGTAAAAAAATAATTGTAGGCTAACAGAATTCAAAAACTGGATGAAAATATTTTTTACGAAAAACCATATTGCCACAATCTGAAGCAGCCTTGATTCCGTAGCTTGTATCGCAGTAACTATGCAGCCATTTTGTTTAGTCGAGTATTTACCAGCTTTCTATTCAACTGGGCGTCTTCGTTAAGTAGGATGTTACCACTGCGCAGGTGGCCGTGGTTTAACAAAGAATGACCAGTCGAATACGGCCATTGCTTACCTTAGTGATGCTTATCGTAGTGATATAAAGAGGCTTTGAGTTTATACTCTTGGAGACTACCACCTCTCAATGTTTCCATGTGTCAGTCACAGGAAACTGGAAAATTAGGTATGACTGAGTATGACATTAAACTGCACATGCTCTGGCTACTGGCAACCATGACTGCCAACCCCATTTATTAGTCTAACTGACCACTAAGTGAAAAGGTAGATGGTCACCCATGCAAGAAAAATAATAGCTCTGAACAAATGACGAATGAGGTTTTCAAAAGTCAACGGCTATCCATGCTTAATTTTGAGTAGGGATGTGTAGGGATAGTTGTTAACTTTTTACACCTAGCATATAGTATGTTCTCTATAAGAGTAAAACTTAAAAACTTTTTACTGTTAATATCATTGTATGATTATCTAATGTGGGTAATGGCCTTATTGTTGGACTCACCTATGCATCCCACACGCCCAGGTTTCACTGAATACCCCAATTCGCAATGACACATGTACGACCCCCTTGTATTCTCACAACGGCCATCCAAGCAAATAGTTGGATTAAGATCGCACTCATTAATGTCCAGGCAGTTCTTATGATCACCGGATGCTCGGAACCCAGTGAAGCAGATACAGCTGTAGGAGCCTTGAATATTTGTACAAGTGCCACCTCCGCAGATGTCCATATCTTCTATGCATTCATCCACATCTTTAAGTATTAAACATCAAAATTATACTTACATTTATAATTAATAATAAAAATTCTTAATTACCAATCAAATGAATGTAAATTATGTGAATAAAACTAAATAATTTTATTTGTATTTTTCAGTTTTGTTATAGATTTACTTATTTATTTATTTATTTATTCAGGTATAAACATCAACCACAACAACAGCCAATGGCTGAAAATGTTTGTTTAAAATCCACAAAAAACACAACAAATATAAACTGTATAGAAAAATAGGTAGGTATAAAAAAATACATATCAAAATATCAAAACATTCAATTAATTACATTAAAATTGTTACAAATTAATATCAAATTATAAAAATATATATAAAAATACACCGTATCTTAAATTCAATTAATTCTTATTAAAAAATACTTATAATTAAATACAGGATTAAAATGAATAAAAAGAAAAGGAGTTGATCATGTTATAGGCAGTTTTGTATCTAGCATTTCATTTTTCGCAATTAAATCAAATGTTTACTTTCATACTAAGAATATATTTTAAAAACATTTTGACAGGCAAACAGTTTAAATGCATATTTAGAGTTGATCAGTTTAAAATCTTATTGAAAAGTGGACAGTTTACAAGCATTTACAAGTGGTCAATGTAAATACATGACAGTTGGACAAATTAAAATCGTATTTTCAGGTGGTTAGATTAAAATCAAATTCACATGTGGAAAGTTGAAATTTAAGTATATTGACTTGTTAAAAGCACATTTACAGACCATTAAAAAGCATTTTAAAAAGTAAACAGTTTAAAAGAACATTAACAGGTAGATAGTTAAAAGCGAAATAATTTGAAACATTGACAGGTAAATGCATATTTACAAGTGAAATGGCATATTAACAGGTCTACTGTATAAAAACATTATTATATATATTAAATGTGTAAGAAATTATAATCCTTTAATGAAACGTAAGGATGTCTGCTCGTACTTCCTGAGTAAACAAATAGGCAGGTCTTTCAAACTATAGTCCTTGATAATGGACCCAAACGAACGCAAATTGATGAAAAACACAACACACTTTAAGAAAAGAACTAAATGACAGACAGTGTAAAAGCATATTTTAAGGTGGACAAAATTTTACCTATGCAAGTTACTCCGTCAGGCAAGAGGATATATCCTGGCTTGCACTCACACACAAAGCTTCCCATCATGTTCTTACATGTATGATCACATCCACCATTGTTCATGTCACATTCATACATATCTGAAATAAAAATAAACATGTGACACTTTAACAAAAATAACAAGAATATTAATAACAATACATCCCATCGAAATAAAACGTCAGTCCAAACTACTACTTGGGAACCGAATTCGCTAGCGGCCTAGCAGTTACGACACCAGGCTAGTAAGCTGGAAGTCATAGCTTTGATTCCCTGCCAAATCACTTCCACAAACTTTTTCGCAAGCATGTGGAAAAATACTGAATATTTAATACAATAACATGTCAGGTAGTGCAAAAAATTCCTAATAACAATAAAGTTTTTAATATTTTACTCAAGATATTGTCATATCATAAATATTTACTGTGTTGTGAAGTGAAAAAAAAAATTACCCTGACAGGCCTTGAAGTTGGCTGTAGGTTTGAATCCAGGATTACACAGGCAGCGGTAGCTTCCAAGAATATTATGACATCGTCCATTGGTACAGATACCATGCGTTGTTGTGCATTCATCAATATCTAATAGATATAAATAATAATATTAGGCTTACTAGCCTTATATTGCAAATATTCTTCAGGCCTCCAAAAAAATTAATACAAATAACCGTCATTATAATCTTTAAGTCAGTAATAATTATTACTTAATTATTTGTCATTGGAACGAACAACTATGGGACATATACCAAGCTACTTGATGGAGTATTCTAATATGTTGCAGCTAGTAATTAGCGCATTGGTAATCAAATCTATTAGGTATTAGGTATATTGCCAAGTCTGAAGTGGCATAGAAATCGGTTGGAGGGACAAAGTGAATTTTTGATATAAAACTGAGGGACACACCTAAACTTGAATGTTGCCAGTGTACTTCCAAATACCTTCATGAACTGCCTTTATACCATATATGCTCATTACTAATATTAATTTTTGCAGATGATCGGTGTTGGATTGTAAAAAAACAAGGAGTTTTCTAGCCAAAGATGGTTGGGGGGGGCCGTTCATATAGGATTGAATTTATTTTTGCAGGCCGCAACATAATCACCTTCAGGTCGTATCTGGCACGCAGGCCGCACTTTGCCCACCTGTGCCCTTAGTAAAGAGATATGGTGGTTTTGCCAATGAATCTATCACCACTCTGTGTGAGTGTTTGACAATGCAACACCATCCGCTGATTGTCATTGGCAATCTTAGCAGATACTTATTGAAAATGATCCCTTGAAAAACCTCATTGTATAGCCAGCCTCCAAGGAATTCCATTGTAAAGCTTGGTTTGCATACAATCGCTACACAATCGCTACACAGTCGCTACAATGTTTCCACTGCAAACCTTGCACTGAGTAGCTGTACCAGACACAATTGGGAATTCAAATGACCAAATCGGCATCACCAAAGGAGTCAGCGATAGGGTGTGGCGATTTTAATGGAAACCAAGCTTTAGGCAACGAAGTGAGTGCCTGACTTTATTCCTGTTTCATTTTTAAAAGCAGTTAAAAAAAAATACTAAATAACTAAACATAGAACCTTTGCAAGCCTGTCCGTCTGATGTTAACTGCTGCCCCTGAGGACAGATACATTCAAAGCTTCCCATCAAGTTGTTACATGTACCTCCAGAACACATGTCATAGTTCACCACACATTCATCAATATCTGCAAGGAAGACGAACAATTGGATAAAATGTACAAGGTACAAATTGTACGTTAAGTATGCGAGGCAGCAACTAAATCAAAACAATAATAATAACATGTGAGATTTGTATAATGCATAATACAGAGGTCTCTATAATTTATTTTTAATGATTTTGTACCTTTATGTTGACATTTTAATTTCAATAACTATTATATAGCCTCGAATCGCAGAGTACATTGGTACAAATAGTGGAAACGAATACATTATCACTAGTAACCATGCGGTTGTAAAAGCTAAAAACAGAAAATCGTAAGTTTTCAGTGAACGATGGTATGTTAATTGTTTACAAACATACTGCTAGCGCTACAGTGACGTGGTAGTCTGAGTAACATCCTAAAGGAATTGTTGTAGCATACATTCAGACGCTTGAAAGTAGCCTTACTGTAATTGGCCCAAATAGCTAAGCAATATATATATATAATACAATATGCCTTAAATAAAGAACACTTCACGGTTTCAGAACATTTGGAAAACTTTCTGCATAAGATATTCCCTCTAACACATAGCGCTCTACACTGTTGTTGGATATCTTTTTCATCATTTAAATTGGAAGTAATCATGCAGCCAAGATATTTAACACTTTCAAGAAAACGTAGAAGCATTTTACCGAATCGAATGTGCGGACCATTCATTTATAATATATATGTAATTTGCATTAAATATTATAATATATAAAAGAAAAATATGTATAAATGGTTAGGATCACATTTAGAAGAGCTGCAGGAGCTATGCATGTAAGTTTGTTCGGTTAAAGTAAGCTTTGATCACTAGGCCTAACCAGAACTTACACCTTGCAGATTTAAAATTTTAGAATTTTTATTCATGATGTATATTTACAAAAGAATCATAAAACAGGTTCACATGAAGAAGTGCAATGTTTTGGGAGCTGACGTACCCACGCACATTTGATCCATCATCACACCCTCAAAACCTTCGAAGCAATCGCAGATGAAAGCACCTGGACGGTTAATGCAGGTTCCATTGCCGCACACATTGCCCATCAGTGTACACTCGTTGATGTCTGATATTGAAGATAAAAATTGAAAACAAAATTTTTTTTTTTCTTACGTTATTTTCCTTTGTGAAAATCTTACATTTTTTACCTAAATAATAAAATAATAATATCGTTCAATACTTTGCATTAAAAAATGCCTTTCATATTTCTTAGTCATGATATATCATATATTAATTAAATAGTTCACAATTACGATACTATTACTAAATTTATCCAGTTTTCATGTACTTTACCTAGTTTCATAACAATCTGACTTTACCAAAGTTCCTTATGATTCCTGATGATGACATAATTAATGTCGAAATATTGAATCCCACACATGATGGTGTGCATTTCGATACTTGGAGCATGTATTATACTCTCTTACCAAAGTTAAGTAAAATACCTTGATAGATCAAACAACCTACCAGATCATTAAATTTTCATGGCTATTTTTAATAAAGTGATACCTAGAAAGGACACTGAGACTACAGGCGAAAATAATGGAAACAAAATATTTGCAGTTCTTACCGAAGCAGGAGTAGTCATATTCATCTAATGCATAGCCTTGGTCACATTCACAGTAAAATGAGCCGATGGAGTTCTCACAAATTCCATCAGCGCACATTCCTTCAAACACACTACATTCATTGATATCTACATAAAATAATAAATAATTAAAGTAATAAAAACATTAGAAGTTTCCAATAAATATATTATCACATTCAAATATCTATTGCTTAGTAGTCTATTGGTGTACCAAGCTTGTGAAGCTCTGTCCAGATTACTGTATGCCCATATATAGTCATGATGTGCCTATATATGGTCATGATGTGCCTATATATGTCATGATGTGATATTATCATGACCATATTTAGGCACATCACATGTTTTTTTCAAATACAATTTGGTATTCTGTACAGGGCTTTATGGTCAGTGAGAAGACGTTTAATTGCTGAGCTAAGATGATGGTTGGGGATATGGAGGTTGAGAATTTCAAATAAAGGTGCTGAAGAAATTAAAAATCGATATAACATAGATTTTAAAGAATATCTGTTATTGAATAGGAAGCTTTTTTAGGACAGACGCAATATACGATTGCACCTTGGAGTAAGGGGTCGTTCAATTTCACAAGCATACGCTAGGATGGAGGGGTAGACAAATTTTTACTTTTACATATTCATAAAAATGTTGATTCAAGACAACATTCAATATGTATAATAATGATAAAATTATATGTAACCATGGATATAATATTAATTTTTAAGCAACCAAGTACATAATAACAATAGAGAATGGTTTTGCAAAAATCAACATTTTTTTTACATTTTCAGAGGGGAGGGGAAAGTACGGAAAAAGAGTACTGTTTGTACACTTGTGAAAATGATAAGGGAGCATAAACAAGTAGCACATGACACCTACTTAGATCATTCAGGAAAAATACATTACCAACAATAACAACAGATCCATCCATGAGGTCTGACCGTATTCTGGTATCGCCAAAACCACTGCCCTTCGGACATAGGAGATCATAGTCAGCTAAGTAGAAAATAAATTATTTTATTTAAAAATCATGAAATTCATTAGAACACTTCTCTAAATAGGCATAGTTTACATTGATCAATTTAATTTTCTTAATTTTTAATTTCATTCACATATCAATATCAATACGACTTTATTTCCAATTCCAGCAACAGATATTACAATATATGAAAAATTCGTTAAAATAGAAAACACCAGAAAGGTAAGAACAGAACAGGTGAATAAGCACCTCTACAAAATAATTAATAAAATAAAAATAATCATCATATTGTAAATAACATAGTAAGGGCGTAAGAGTCATGACCAGTCAACAGCGTAATTCACTAGCAAACTTCAGTGGAAACGAACAGAAAATTGAGTGTCAGCAAAAAAGTAACCTTAATTTCATAAAAAGTAATGAATGGCTCACCTGTTCCTGGAACGGGACATGGGGTACATGCCGATAGGCTGCCCCAGGCAGCCCCAATAGAGCAACAACAAACAGAATTACGGTAAAGACCATCGATGTGTTGCAAACACTGTCCTTCTACATAGTCCAAGTAACATTCATAGCTCCTAAGATCTGTATTTGGAAAAAAAAAAAAAAAACGCAAAATTACACAAATCAGCAGTTATGTTGTGGTACACTCTGAGTGAGACGTACCAGGATATAACAGTTGCCAATGTTTCTTAAACTCAAACATTCCTACAGAATAATAGAACCATCCACCCCGCAACACGCTATGTATGCATGCTACCACCATATGCGCATTCTCATTCCCCATGCACACATGTGATAGTTAGAGTGGATATACTGTGTATGGCACACTGGGATAGACAATTCCATTATTTTGTAGGGTGTACTAGTTAAAGAAAGTTTAAATGAATTGATTAATCCATTTAGTTATATATTTGTCATCCTGGGTTTATTGTCATCAGTAAACAATGATGAAGTAATAGAAATACTTACCTATACAGTTTCTTCCACCGGTATCAAGTGATAGTCCTTCAGAACATATACATCTGAACGATCCTATACTGTTCTCACATTCTCCATTTGTACAGGCCATCATATCAAGCTCACACTCATTAATATCTAGTAATGTTAACACACAATAACTATGTGAGGTAGGTATCAGTAACCTTTATAACGAACATAAATGAAATTTAATTACAAAAAAAAATTATCCCAGTGAAAACCTATGCCATGTAAAACTCTATTCACCAGGTCACCCAAGACTTTCACTCTTATCCGCATCTATGCCTTCCATTATGTGTATGAATGTAACAAAACAAATACTTCACGATTTGATTTGATTTACACTTAAAAGGTTTGTGAAAAATACTATGATTACTAATACATGTGATATGACATTATGTTCAGAAAATGTTATACAATAGCATGGTCACAACATAAGACAGACACAACAAACATGCTAATACTACTACAGTAGCGATTTCTCTCAGATCTCTGATGCACAAGGCATGTCCAGCTCAGGTCTGGCATTCATCGATAACTAGTTAAAAACAAGATCTAGATAGAAATCATAAATCAGTATATATCTGACAATGATGCATTAAATCAAATAGGTTTGAATTTATTGGAAAGAAAATTGGGTTTTAATGTATGCCATAACTTTTTATTTCTCTATATTTACTCCATAAGTAATTGTTTTCTGCACTGCATTGTCCTGATTAAAGATTATAAACACATGTCTGTACAATGTTTTATGTCTTTTCACTATTTTAATGTCAAAAATATATCTAATTAAATAAAAAGAAAAACAAAATGTTCTAATTTATTTTGCAATAAGTTTCATTTTGGAACATACCAATACATTTGCCATTCTCATATATGAACCCACGTTGACATTGTTGGACCTGTTCTGCTGGACAAGGTTCACACGGACTGCCCCATGCACGACCGAAGCTAGAGCAACATTCATCACGACGCATTACTCCCATTATATTTTCCTCGCAACGTCCATCTCTGATCTGGGTCCAGCAAGTACCAAGACGACGATCTACAAGAAAGTTTTATATTATTCATAAAATTAATAGCTCTCTGAATTCGCTTAACTTATGCTAACATGAGAGCAGCTTGGCTCAGTCAGCTAAATTGGTGGTGGCCACTGTGTGCATGCTGAACCACTGAGATCACTTGATCCCTGGTTCAATTCCCACCACTGATCTCCTTATGTTTCAGCTGGAATGCTGAATGCAATTTACGATAGTGCACCATTTTTCAGATGAGACATTTAAGCTGTTGGTCCTGTGTGCATTATGCCCCATGTGCACCTTAAAGAATTCCAGTACACTCTTTGGAAAAGAATAGGGTATTGTCTTCCGGTGTGCTGTCCAATCACCACCAGAAGGACCCCACTGGAAATAAGTCTTCTTCAGACATTCGTGGGTTATCCTTGGTGTTTACACCGAAAAAATCCATCCACCCATCCATCACTTCTATTTAGGAATAACACCAATTAGAATGCACCATCAAATTTTACAAAGTTACTGAATCATCAAAAGATGACTGTGACAAGCAGTGTTTAGACCAAAAATTGCAATTTCAACTACATTAACAAATGCTGAGTGTCCCTGTATAAAGTTGAAAGTCTTACCCAAGCATGCTATACCAGCTTCATCAAGTTCAAGTCCTGGTAGACGGCATTCGCATCGCGAGCTACCAGCAGTGTTCACGCAAATGGCGTTGACACATGGGTTGTTTTCTTCGCATTCATTGATATCTAAGTACAATGCATATAAACATAAATACAGTTTATTTTAAACATAATAACTTCATTTTAATTAATTAATTAAATATCATTATCCTATTTATTTCTGTAAATTATTTCAGCTTTTATTCAATCTTTAATTCATATTAATTCATATTTTATTGTTTATTAAGTTGTACTCTCCTCTGGCTTCCTGTCTTTAAACGCAATATGTTTAAAATACTTTTATTAATTTTTAAAGCAGTCAATTTAAGCTCCCCCTCCCCCCAATACCTTGCTAAATTACTTCTTCTCGTTACCTTCATTCCTCCTCCCAAAAACTTTTCTCTGTTCCATCATTCAATACTAAAACTTACGCCTTGAGCACCTTTACATCCGCTGCTGCTTGTCTCTGGAATAATTTACCTCTTTTAAAAAGATCACCTACTTCTATCTCTGCCTTTAAATCTTCTCTCAAAACTCATCTTGTTAACATCTAGCTCTAGCATACACTGCGTCTTTGATCATTGTTCTTCGGAACTGGCGCATTTGTATTACTAATATTATTAAATTTTTTTATCTTGAATTAAAGCCTGATGTTAGCAATGGGGCATCATTGGTCAGTGAATGACACAGGTTTATTAGCTACACTATATGTACAATCCTATATAAATACATAACTTTACACAGTATGTAACTGTATGTACAATTGTGTCTTGTGTTTATATGATGTGTCCAAAGTTACTTCTATAATATATACACTATAGATTAATAAAAATGTGTATAAAAATTCATACATACCGATACAAATAACACTAGCACTGTCAAACTTGTAACCAGCGGGACATTCGCAGACATAGCTACCAGGAGTGTTACGGCAAATGCCGCGCTCACAAAGCAGGCGATTCTCTGCACACTCATCAATATCTGAAAACAAACAAATTGCAAAAATTATAACATGTTTTCTCTTTCACTTCTACAAGCAAGTATGCTTGCAAATTAATCAATTAATGTTCAAGTGGTGAGAAAAAACCACACAAACAATTATAAAACATGTCAATTTTTTTTAATCATATATTTAAAGGTAAATTTTGTAAAGCATATTTCAGTTATATCTACTAAATAACAGATTTAATCAACAATCACTATTTTTTTTTTTAAAGAATGCATTTTATCTGTTCATAATTGAAACTATTCCTGGAGACTGTCCTGTCTTCCTGATTTCTACACTACTACTTTATATCCTCACAAATAAAATATATTTAACTTCTGTTTTGCATGCTTAATTATTGTTATAGGTTGTTCATCAATATTTACTTAGCTCAAATCGCGAGCATGTCCCAAGTTATTGTCCTGTTTTGTTACAGGTGCAGTAAAATCAAATTAACACACGCTAAGTTATCTATATTACTAATTTCCTGAAAAATTTAAACAATTAATTATTCTTTATGAGAAAGGAGGTTGGAGATCGGGCAAACTGTTCCCACCCCCTATTGGGGGTCTCTGCGTCATTACTTAATTTCTAAGCTCCCTGTGGCTTTAGTGTGTCTTCATAAAAACAGCCAAATACACACAAACAAATTGCCACAGAAAGATAATTTCCTAGCCTAATTACATGTTTTTTTAACATTTGTGTCAATCAAGTCTATTTATAAAAATATCTGAAGCATATTTGCAACTGTTACTGTTTTTAACAAGAATTTAATATGTATTGACATTGTTCCTTAACACTTTTTGTTTGATAACGATGTAAATTGCTGATTCCTATGCTCTAAAATTACATTAATATTGATGATAAGCATGAAGTGAAAATTTTAATAATGTAAGCTTTTTGAGAAAATATAGTGTCTGAACAAATACTGTAAAACAGATTGAATAATATTATAGGATTGAACTAATAAACCTATCTCTGGAAAGATATACAGTATATATTACAGACTCAAGCAACATAAGGCTTTCCTGATGATGACATAATTGATGTCGAAATATTGAATCCCGACACAATGGCGTGCATTTCAATACTTGGAGTATGTATTATACTATCTTATAAGGCTTTCTATCACCAGAATAAGAGCCCTAACATTACTTCTATATATAGTATCGATGGCCTTATAGTAACAGTAATTAATATCAATAGAAATATAAATTTAAGTGTTTTATTTAGTAGTTTCCAACAAACAGGATATAAATATACTATTTTATATAAGAGGCTCAGCTAACGGAATTGAGTAGTTACAACAACAGATAAAAATTCTGGACATAACTTCAAATATATTGTAAAATGTAAATGGATATAAATAATTTGAATATAACTAATTATAATTACGGTATTTCAATGTAGTTTTATCCTCAATAAAATGAATATTATCTTGTAGTTTTACTTGCAAAAACTTGTACAGTTAAAACTACCAGATTTTTTCTTGATCATGTACCCAATGTACAATGCATAATATACAACACAAACCTCTGCAATACATTTCTCAACTAGTAATTGTTTTCTGCAACATGCTCTAGGTCTTTGAGATCAATGAACAATAGGTAATTCTGACAATAATTTAATAACATCAAAAAGTCTGAAGATGCAAGTCAGTCACCACTCTGCACTCAACTTAATGTCATCAGCAGTAAACCTTAAACATTTGGTATAGCTTTAGTAAAAAATATGAAGCTCTAGTGTTGCTTTTTTGATAAAAATTGTATTTACATCCAATACTAAGTAGCTTTCCGAAGAATGAAATGATGCATTATAAACCAAGTTATGAAATTTAAGGATTGGGTGTCAAAGGAATTGAACTCAGGACCCTGACATTAGAAGGCAACCATTTTAACCACTAAGGTACACAGCTCCACTACCTATATGTTCATGTACTTTCTTGTATTCATTTTTTTAAACTTTGGCACTCTATGTATATATTTTTTGTTTTAGTCATCTACCAAAACAATTCAATTTTCTGTATTTTTATATGGACAAATAAAATTACTTGAATCTTGAATATGTAACTTAATAATTTTAAAATGAATATTATAAAAATATAAACAAATACCTTGACATATCCTGCCAAAAGTGTCTATTTGATATCCATCATTACATCTACATTGATACATTCCTTGCCCATCTTCGCAGACACCATGAAGACACATATTGCCAAATAGCATACACTCATTCACATCTAAATACAAATATAAAAGTGATCATAATAATAATAATGATGACAACAACAATAAATATATGATAATGATGATTTAAAATACC